CTTCAATAGAAGCGAAATGGTTAGCGTTCACACGGACAAACGAACGGGCCACAAGTCGAGCATTGCACTAAACCAATATACTCAACTCACTTACGTGAATGAGTATAACATACACACTGTTTTTTCGCCGTGTATAAAAAGTTTCGCGCTGGCACAGCATGTCCTAAATTGCTCTATTCAGACGCAATTAGAGTCAAGCTGGGCAGCAGAGCAGGCAAGGCTTGCAGACTCGAGAGCTGGATCGCTGTTTCGTTTTTGTTTTTTAACACTTTCAATAGCTGCAACATTGCGCAGTTTAAGGATAATGCCTACGGAGATCCTTTCTGTTGCACAACAATATGAAGTAAACGTTTCCGGTGCCTGTGATTCTTGTTTTACTTTTTATTTTATTTCTTTTTATTTTTTGCAAAATGATCCCACGCGGCAGACAGCATCGATCGCTGATCTTGATATCGATGCATGGCCTATCACTAATGGCCATTGTTTGGCCGCACTTGCGCATCTCTAGGGCAGGTAGAGGCACAATGGAAGGTGTCGAGGGCCCCCGTAAATCTGTTGCTACAATTTCAATTACGTAATCAAGATGCCGACGATATGCGCATGACAAGGGCCTTGTTGTTGGTCCCTTTGTGTCAGGCGATAAGCGGATGTTCCCAAGGATGCATGGAGCATACGTTAAGGAACCAACACCCTCCCGCCTCTACCCATTGAAGCGGATTTATTGGCCAGACGTCCATAATAAAAATGGTTATTATCATTCAAATGTCGCATTATGGGCACCCTCTATGACGCGTCGCGCTAGTTTGTGTTTGCGATGTCGTAAAGCCGAGTTTTACGAGGCGCATTTAAATTAGCGTTAAGTTTAGCGATAAGTTGGGGTTGAAACGGCTCGTAGACTAAACATTTATTGCACAATGTGGACAAAATTTTAACAGCACAGCACAGCGAAGAGCGAAGCGTTCGATTCAATAAAACTTGAACTAGCTAAGAGTGGCATCGGCAGCGAGCCGATTCACAAATTGGATTGCTCCGTGCTATCCGGCTTTGGGGCTGTGCCGAAGAACTTCTCGTACTCCTCCTGACGGCGGCGGGCGCGCGCCTCTCGCTCCATTTGACGCTTTTTGGAGAAACGTTGATGGATGCGCTTCATCTCCTGCACCTCCTTCATTTCCTCCTTCTCCTCGTCCTGCAAGCAAACAGAAAGACAAGTACAGCTCACTCTCTATCTCTCTCTCTCACTCGCTCTCACGAGCTATGCCAGTGGACTTACAGTCATATTGAGGCGCAGGACCAGCGCTCGCCTGCCATCCGACATCGACTGGCTGTAGTGCATAAAGTTCTTGAGGCGCTCGCCGGGCGGCACACTGCGCTCCACGACCAGGACAATGCGTGCCCACTGGCGCTGCCATTCGTTGCGTATCTCGGCTATCTTCTGGTAGGTGTTGCCCATCATGGCGATCAACATGTTGACCAGCAGAACGCTGACAATCACCATGAACAGAAAGAACAAGATCTTCGCCTCGTATTCGTGCTGCGTGGACACCATGGCGCCATAGTAGTCCCCGAAGTTGGTCAGCGACATTAGAAACATGGCCACAATGGACTCCATGGGCGAGGGCATGGGATTCGATTCGGCATCCTGATCCTCGGGCGCAGATGGATTGTCAAAGGTCAGGAAGATGATGTAGAAGGCCTGAGAGAAGCCCATCACAAACACCAAGTAGATGGAAACGAAACGCAGCAAGTCTCCCATTACCATGCGATATATCATCACAACGAAGGGTCCGACGGTCTTGAAGCCCCTAGAAGACCCAGAGATCTTTAGTTACGTATGGGTGCATGGCATGTGTGCATCTCACGGACCGACAAAAGAAGAGGAAATAGGGCGCAGTCGTCAGCATGATCACCACTGTTACGTGATCGTCGATCTCGGTCAGGCAGGAGACTCTCAGCCAGGGTATGGTCATCATCAGCGCGCAGGAGAAGAGAAACATGACACGCGATGGAGCAGTCATCTGAGAGGAGAAACACCTAGTTATCTATATAGAAGATCATTTAGATTGTCAGCTGTTATCCCACCAGATTCTCAATGAACATTTTGTAGCCCAGGAAACGCGCCTCCCTCAGCGCTACGACCAGATAGATAATGGCGCCCACAAAGTTGATGAGCTCGGCGATAATGCGAAGCTTGGCCAGATCCGATTCCAGATTCATGAGCGGGCACTGTGCATAGGTCTGCCACCAGGCGGGCAGAGTCTCGACCTCGTTGGGATCATAGTATTCCGTAAAGTTAAGCCAGAAGGTTTCTGTGCGGGCAAGAAATTAGAACTGGAAGATCGTTTATCAAAGATAGGGATAACAAACTGTATTCGGTGCTGGAGGTGGCACGCTTGGTCAGCTGAGTGAGGCTGTGATTGCTGTACAGATCGTGAGTTGTGGTGGCGTTCGACGCAGCCGCTGGGCTGCCAGCCTGATCCTCGTCTTCGTCCTCCTTGGCCTCCGGGCCCGGGCGCAGTATGAAGCTGAACAGCGAGATGAGAAAGTAGAAGGCAAACATGTAGAACTGCTTGTAGAAGCGCGACTTGCAGAAGGTGTCCCATTTGGTCTTCAGCAGATCGATGACCACGCCATCCAGCAGCTCCAGATGCTCCAGCTTGTCGCCGAACACCACAAAGTTCAGCACCGAGTCCTTGTTGATGTTGCCCGTCTCCTCGTTAATGGTGTCGATCATGAGCAGCGGATAGGCGGCGCAAGTGATGCTGCCCAGCTGCCAATAGATCTCGCGCTCAATGCTCATCACGTGGAAGAACATCTCGACGCGCCCGAGCTTGGCCGCCAGCGTCAAGGGCGTCAGATTTTGAACGTTGCGCACGTGTATGTTGGAGCCCACCTCGTAGCCCACGTCGAACATTTCGATTTTCTCGTAGATGACCAGCATGTGCAAGACGGTGTTGCCATTCGTGTCCTGGAAATCTGGATCTGCGCCGCGTGCCAAAACCAGCCGAAAGCACTCCTCCTGCAAAAGTTGATGATGATGATGATAGATATCCTTGATGTTCCATAACTTACCTGGGACAGGCAGGCGGCGAAGCTCAACGGATACTCGCCCCAGTAGACGTAGCCATCGTAGTTGGTTATGGGCTGCAGCGCCACATACTCGTGGTCGGGCGAGTCTGTGCGGGAGGCCTTTGTGTCCTCGGCAGACATGAAGGCGCCACAGCAGCTAGGTGGGGCATACGTTAGGCCGGGAGTCAGACTACGCAGAACCACTTACCGTTCCTGCACATCCGCATTGGCATCCAGCAAGTACTTGACCATGGCCGGATCCTCATTCACAATGGCAATGTGCAGCACGCTCTCGCCGTAGTACTCATCGCTCATGTAGATGTCCAGGATGAGCTTGGGATAGAACTTCAGCAGACGCTTCGCAAGATCTGCGTGCAGCGAGGAGGCATTCAGCAGGCAGAGATGCAGAATCGTTTCACCCACAGCGCCGCGCATCTGCGGATAAATAGATAAATCAATGCAACTGCAGCTGGTTAAGTTTATCTGAACTGAACTCACGTTAAGATCCCAGCAGACAAAGCGATAGGCCGAGGGATTGGATATGTACTCCGCCTCGGACACCTCGGGACAATAGTCGTGTATGTTGAAGTCTTCGTCGGGATTCTCCAGGGCGCGTATTTCGGGCAGTTGCCTCGTCCGGGGTCTGTCCCGATTCCGCAGCAGCACCAGCTTCGATATGGGAAAGTAACGGCCAGCGCCCTTGTTATATAAAAATGGTTCCACCTTCGTTTTGATTGCATGATCGATCTCGGCAAACTGCTTGGTTTGGCAGGCGCGCTTCATCATGTCCACCAGAAGGCCGCCGCCCTTGAGATTGACAAACTTATAGAGGGCCTGGGTGGAGACTCCCGCCTGTTTCTTTACGCCACTTGTCACATTGCTCTCGGTATTTCCCATGACGCAAGCTGGGTCCTGACCAAGGTATCAGCTATCCAGTAATCCTTTGGAGATGGTCGAAATTCCTCAAATTTATTTGTTTTTATTTATTTTATTTTTATTTTTTGCGAAGCGCGACATTTTTATTATTGAACCTAGTTTTGACTATGCAATGTTCTCGAATTTCCTGTCTGTTTTTATCCTTCGAGTGAGCATCGATTAAACATTTCCATGAAATGAGCGTTGTCAATGCAACAGCTGAACTTGAGCCTAATTTATTGTTTACAATCCGTTGCCAGGCATCAAACTTGTTGCATTTTGTTGCATATCCAACAAGTGTTTCGCCCATATCCTCTGTGATTGCAAACTTGTAGATTCCAATAAGAAAACTTGAACTTTTCGCATTGCATGTTCCACGTTTCATGGCCTTCTTCCACCTTGACATACTGAACTATAACATGATTGGGTTATTATTGAATCGATTTAGATTGCATTTTCATTTATAATGAGTGTGTTTATGACTATCTGCAGTTGAAGCATTCTTTTCTTTTACTAATATTACATTTCAATGCATTTCAATTATTGAATTGCAAACTGTTATGGAAAAAAATAAAATTTATTTTGCGCAACTAGCAAAACTTTTCAAATTATTCGCGACGAATGGTCACCCTAATCATTTAAAATTTATATTTAGCGCCTACCCCTGTGACGCTTAATTGCGCCATCTACATTGTGTAGACAGAAACTGAATTAACAGAATCCCCGTGCCGCTTAGCACTGTTAAAAGACTCAATGCTACAGCACTTTTGAAAAGTACGGTCATTTAACAGTGATAAGTATTTGTCCATAACAGCTAAAAAGCTGCTTGCTATATTACGCAGAGCAAGATTTTAAAAATAATGTTAATTGAAAATAATATATTATTATATAATAATAAATAATATATTATTATATAATATATATTAGGCAAAGTCATGAAATACACCTGTTTGCTATGTTATGCACTAAAATATTTAAAAATTAAAAAAAATCCGTAAATGAGAGAAACAATCCATGCGTAGTTATAGAGTCAAAAGATGTATTTATTAAAATGTTATTTCCTTATGAGGCAAACTCAATAAATTTTATTTGGACCAGATCGTTAGTTTTGATTATAGATATTAGCTACAATGTTTGATTTAGTGAGTTTCTCAATTGCTCAGCTTAGCAATTTTATGTTTTCCGAATTTCCAAACATTCAATTGAGAACATTAGTTGTAAGTAGGTATCATAGATTATATAAGTATGTGTATATATTCGCATATCGTTAATTGATTTCTTGATGTTAATTTACTAATGTAGAAAGACTGGACTTATCAAAATATATATGTATGTATGTATTTTGCATATAACATAAATATATTTTTCTTGCATATTCATAACATTGCCCAACTGGGCGTATATATGTAACAATATAATTACTATTGTATTAGGTAAGCATTTCAAAACAATTTAAATGTTAGATTTTGATCCCTTGGCTTGAACAATGTGTTTAAACAATTGCGATATATATATTTAAATATTTATGTAATTCTTAAATATTCGAGTACCGCCGCTTCATATATAAATTGCTGTTATCTATGACTTTATATATCCTTTGTACTTTGGGTAATTATAAAATAAAATATATTTTAGTTAAAAGCAGTTCTTAAAATCCATCCTTTCACTTATTGCTAATTGTAATTGAATGCAATTGAGAGGAAACTAAAGGCTGGGAATGATGTGGCCCATTGGCCATCTTTAGCTTGCCTTTCCTTATGCTTTGGAAAAATAAGTTTTATATATATATATATTAGCAGAGGTAATGGAGCTTAAAGCTAGATATCATATATTTTCTAATGGATATATTTTTATATAAATATTTGCTCTTTTCTGTTAATCACCAACAAACACTTTCCTCGATCCACAGTTGTTTCATAATTGCCTTTTAAATCGTTAACGATATAAATATATATGTATGTATGTAAGTATGCTATATACCCCGAATTTTAGTTGTAAATTTGTGCAAAAATTAAGCCAATCAGTTGGAAATAAACTTTAGGAAATATTTTAAGCAAGCCTTGAAAGTGTTCAGGGGTTAAAAACAGCTGAAGACATATTTATTTAGGCTTGGTTTCAGAAGCAATTCGGAATTTGATCTGTTATATAACTTAATATTTCGTTCCTAGCATAGTTTTAGTGTCGATATATTAGATCTGACCTCTTATAATTTAGTGAAATAATTGCATAATTGTACTACCCAATCCTAATCATATTTATGACCTTTGCCCCACATCCTTCGCCTCACAGTCCGTCGGATCGATATCCTGTTCAATGAGCACCATATTTTTGGATATCTTGTCAGCGAGCTTCGTCACCGAATCCGAGGGATGCTGCGATATAATGGATTTGGTTGTTGAACGCTTGCGCAGATACTCCTCCTGCTGTTCCTTTCTGTGCAAGTCGCTGAGCCTAAATGCCTCCAAGAACTCATTCAGATCCACCTTGCCGTCCCCATTGAGATCCATCATGCGGCACTTCTCCAGCATCTCGTTCTTGGAGTAAACGCCAGGCATATGAGCGACCAGCAGATCAATCGCCTTCTCGAACTCATCCAGCGTTATCTCACCTGAGCCGAAAAGATGTCAAATTTCAAATTAAACAATCTCTGATTAGGCGAGCGAGTTAAGTATATTGAACCTGAGTGATCAGCGTCTATAATATTGAATATGGTTTCCAAGCTGGCTTTATTGGCATACAAAGCGTCCATGACCGATGTGCCGTCAGCCTCGGCTTTCATCTGCAACAAATCGAGAATGCGGGTCAAATATGAAGTAAATAATCAATTTCATTTTCATTTCTTTGCTCACAATAACATCCGTGTCCAGCAAATCCAAGGTTCGTATATAGTTTACGCTTTGACTATCCGTGCCGGGCGCCAGCTTTTCGCGCAGCAGCCGCCAGGGCAGGCCCAGCTTGGTGACACTCTCCATGACAAAGCACCACTTGGCAATGGTTATGCAGCCGCTGTCATCTGGGTCGTACTTCTGAAATTCCTCCTCCAGCTCATCCCGGTGCTCGCGCATTCGCACAGCCAGCTCCTTCAAGGCCGCGCACTCCACGATGCCCATGCGCTGCTTGAAGGACAGCTCCTTGGTCTGCGAGGCGGCCGAAATGTATTGGACAAAGTGCGGCACCAGCTGGTTATTCAGGCGCATATAAGCGCCCTTATTGGAGCCGATGGCATAGTAGTTCGAGGCAGAGAATATGGTGATGACCTGCAATAGATATATGTATACAGTTATAAATGGACTTTCAATCAAGTCTAGTATTATTCTCGCCTTGTTGTCATGCATGAACTCGTGTCCATTTGGCTTGCATTCGTGCGAGCGTATCACGTAACTGAGTCGATGGCGCTTCAAGAACGATTCTGTTGTATCTGGCCCGAACCAGACACCGGCTCCACGCAGCTGATTTGGCTTACAGCCTTGCGAGGCCTGCGGATCGCTCCACATGACATCGAAAATCTGCAAACATATTTAAGCATTTAATTTATAGGTAGAGGTATAATTGCTTTAGCTTACCTGTTGCCACTCAGCCTTGTCCAGAGCCTCGCCATCCATTAGAGGGGGACGCAGAATGGAAACATACTGAAAAGTAATTAATCTAAATATAACTATCCCATATCCAAATTGGTTGCTTCTATGCCTCTACCTTTCCCCTGTCGATGCTTTTGATGAGATCAAGATTGGTGGTATCCGAGAAGCCGCCGTGGACAATTAGCACGCGATTGTTCAATATGGATCCCAGTGGAAGCCAGCGGTAAACCTCATCAATCAGCGACAGCAAATACTTGTGATTACGCTTCAAAGGAACAAGAAGAGCAGGTTTAAATAAGAGAATAAGCTAGGCATATTAGCTTTACTTACTGGATACTTTCCTTCTACTTCGCGTATAAAGCCGTATCGGGCATTCATAACACTGTCTTCGTGATTACCACGATTCAGGAAGACCGAATTAGGGAATGCCAGGTACAGCGATAGCAGCAGCAGGAACACCTCCAGCCCCCTTTTGCCTCTATCGACAAAGTCGCCATTGAAGACATAAGGATTGCTAGCGGACGGCAGGCCATTCTGAGAAGAGTATGAGAACGAATAGAGTCGGGAATTACGAAAATCTGGTTAGGCATTACCTTATAGAGCACAACCAGCAGATCGTCCAGTTTGCCATGCAGATCCCCACAAATGGTCACCTGCTGGGAGACAGCAGTCGACACCATCCAAAGGTTCGGCATCTGTTTGAGCGACTTGGCAGCCTCGCGCAATATCAGGCACACATACTTTGGATGCAGACGGTTGCCCTGCAACGATAAAGCGCGGATTTAGACTGGAAACTTAAGGGATTGGGAGTTAGCATGTGTCTTACCCGTTTCTTGCGGAACACATCAATCAGTAGATCTATGTGGCTCTTCGTTATGGGCACTGTTAGTTCTATGCGCGCCATATCGCCGCTCTCCTCATACAAGGTACCACTCTTCTCCAAGCCAGAACCTATTGGGAGTTTTTATCAATTATCAGATATTGGAGGGGTGTAAAATAGACTCAGCTGTAGGACTTACATCGTTGTGAGTTAGATTTATTTCCTGCCTCGGCGGCCTGAGGCATGTGCTTGATAAGGTCATTGAAGAACTTGTACAGCTGAAAATAGAAAGCAATTAAATATTTAATGTGACCTATATAACAAGTTCCCTCAACATATCTCTCTACATATGTAAGTCCATGCATACACATGCGTATGTGTGTTCTTTAGCTATTTTTTTTATTATCGACTTTTTTTAGTATTATCGACTTTCGAATCTTAACAAATGCACTTTTCTATTTTGGCCGAGTTTCTCTGCTAATGCTCATTCCAGCAGACTAGTTCTATTTACGAGGGTTAGCCGAACCGAAAGCATTTTGTATGCAATTGCATTAACTGAACCCTAACTAAAATATAGATTAAGGTATACAAAAATGAAAACTGTTGATTGAAATTGCAATTATATTTACGCCTAGAAAGAATGTCTGAGGCGTACCTCAACGTTCGATTCAAAATCTCTTCAATCATGCCTGAAGATAATATTATAAAGTCGTACATACTCTAAGCCCGCTGTCAATCATTCAAGCTCGCTTTAATCAGGCTTCAATAATTCTAGGATAATGTTTAATGTTTTTAAATAAATGGGATATACTATATGCCCAATTTCAATCGAGCGAGTTATTTTCTACACAGACAGAGAATAACTAATATACCCACACACGTAAGCAGGAACAACAATACATAGTAGCTCTGCTTGGGTCTTCTCAAGTTCTACTCGATTACAAACCCTTTTTACCCTTTTCTAATGAGTCAATCAGTAGAAATTGCATTCAGAAATTTCTATCCTTTTCACTTAGCCCATACATAAATACATACTAATATTTTTAAATAATCTAGATACTATATTTACTCTATATGCATATATTATAAATGCCCATAGCATCAGTTACTTACCTCCGCCTGATCCTGTTCGCAGGCATACTCCACATTTTGAAATATTTGCCAATTGCAACGCTTTCGCATCTCCTGACGCGCCTGATGACGGCGGAACCATTTTTGAATAAATATTGCCGCACGGATAGCTGAAACGAATTTTGCATTTAAATTGAAAGGAACTCAATATAATTCCGCCATATTCCATTTGCATTTACACAACATTAATATTTAATGCTACGAGCTGCAGTAATTTGATATCGAATAGAGAAAACAAAAGTCTATTTGCGTTCAGTTTAGCTATTTAGCTGTGCCTCAGCTCACATCGGGCAACGTAATTCAATTCCGAAATGCACTTAACCTAATAGGACTACAAGGCACTTAATATTCTAAAATGCACTTCAGCAAATTCGCATTGTATTTGTCTAGGTGCACACGCTTTTTTCGAGGTCCTTGAAACTCCTGTGGAATGGAGTCGAGGACGCAAAAGTTGTCACGGACAACCTAATTGAATGATTGCTCTAACGTTTTTGGATGCAAGGGCTGCATAGCATACCTCTAAGCACAAATTGCATATATATACAGTATATACATATATATATATATATATATATATGCGTGTGTATAGTATGTGCTTCCTACAAATTAAATTATTACTTGCCGTTCTCGTCCATTATTATGTAATAGAGGCGAAGAATGGAGTACTAAAACAAGAGTGTCTCTATAATGTGTGTTGTCGTTGTCCTGTTCTGTTCTGTTCTGTTCTGTTCTGTTGTGTTGCTGTTGTTGTTGGCACTAAATTTAAACATTAATTAAACTATTTAATAGTACAACATTTATTGAATAGCAGTCAATAGTCGAGTGTTTTATGGTGTTTTAATTGCAGATTGCAGATTGCATTGCATACATTCTTCTAAATTTTGTTTACGTATTTTTCTACTTTCAATACAACCCATTGATCGGTCAGCTATAGTTGATTGCCCGATTTATCATGATAGCTTCGATTGCATTTATATATGTATATATAATTTTAGCACTTTCACAGAGCGCCTCTGTCGCTTTATATACTCTGAACTTGTAAAAATCAATTATTATAGACTAGGAAACACTCTTTTCACTGTTGTTCACGCGGAATCCCATGCAAGACTGCGACTCGAATGACCCGCAAATGGTATTTCAGTGGTTCTCTAGTGGAAACACCCGTCGGTCCCCACCCCGTGTCCTCACCCTGTGACACCTATATTTGTCTGTGGTTCTATGTGAGTGTCGACCCAGTCGATTTTAGCCCCCTCTTGGTCAATAGCAATGTGGTCAAGCAAGTGTTCAGGGGAGGGGGTTGGTCTGGGGCTTTGGCTGTCGTCGTCTGCTAAATTCGTTTGGGGAGCCGCACAAATTGTAACACAATACAGACGGCTGAAAACGCGACAGTGGGGCTGACCCCTGGAAATAAGGCTGAAATTGGATGGGGGCCAACAGGCGGTGGGGGGAGGTCAGTGTAGTGTCGGACATGGTATTGGTATTGTTTTATATTATATTTTTTTTTTTTTTTTTTTTGAGTGTTGAAATAAGTAAACCACTTAGTTGCTTTAAGGACTGCAATCGCTCTCCGCTCTCCAGATCAGGTTTAGTTTAATATTTTGGTTGAAGCATCTCCCACACCCTCCACAAATCAATATCAGGGAATTACGCACGATGAGGCGTAGGTGTTACCATGACAGATAAAAATAGATTTGAAATAGATATTTCAGTCGTGATTGACTGATCGATTGCCCGATAACTTGATAGCGGTCGAGTTGACTTCTTAATTGATTCTTAATTTAATTGCAATGATTAAATGACTGCCAGATTTGCTTTAAACCTGATTGACTGACTGAGTGACTGATTGAATGGTAAAGCTGATTGAATGCCCTACTATTAATTTGCTTATAATTGACTGGCATACTGATTGATTCCCTAACTGACTGATTAAATATTAAAGGCAGACTTGATGAACATACTGAGTGAATATTTGATTGACGAAATGGCTCACTGAGTGAATTATGATGTGATTGAAAAACTGTCTTATTGATTGAATGGCTTATTGCAAGGGAAACTGATTGTCTGCTAACATACTGATTGATAGATTGACAAATCGCCTAATTCAATGAACGACAAAATGACTGACAAAATGCCTAAGTGATTGAATAATATTCAAATTTACTGTAACTGTTTAAAATACTGAGGATTGATTTATAACTCGATTTATTGATTGAATGACACAGCCGATTGACTACTTAAAGAGCTGACGGAGCTGACTCACTAATCGAATGAATGATTGAATATCTGATTGGCTGCTATAATAACTGAATGAAACACTGATTGACTGATTGAATGACTGATTGATTGACAAAACTGATTGAATGAATCGTTGCTTGATTTACAAACTGACTGACAATAGTTGATTGAGTGAACTTTACTAAGGACTCTGTGATTTCCCAACACGAATATGATTGACCCGTGATTGACTAACATCACACACAATCAATGACTGATTGACTAATCCTGCCAACTATTTGACTGACTGTCTACTGCCTAAATTGCTGGGCCAATCGAATAACTGCTTAATTCACCAACTGACTGACAGAGTGAGCAATCGGCTAACTAAACGCTTGATTAATTAATGTACTAATTGACTGGTTGAACGATTGACAAGCTGATTGGCTGATTGAACAAATCGTCGACTTGTGGCTGACTAATTGCCAATAATTAACAAAGCTCGCTGTCGCAGCCGTCAGCTGAATGGACGTAATGCCTCGCTCTGCAAAATTAATGAGTGCAAATAGACTTCAGATCGAGATTTAAAATTCTGCACTAGCAACTGCTGAAGAGAAGGCAAAAGGTATTTTAAGAGCTGTAATCGGATACGGGAAACACCGCAGGGAGGCTATATCAACTATGATAGTTTCTTTCTTTATTTATTTATTTTTATTACCTTCTACATGTTTGTAGTAGATGTTGATAGAATTCAATTAATTGAGATTGGTACTCACATTTCTCGACTCGCGTTGCGCTCATGCCTCGGAGCGGTTTGCGGAAGTGCTTGCACCAACCTTTCCTGTGGAACAGCTGCAGCAGACTGGATGCGCGCGTATTTGGCTGAGGTGCGAGCGTTTGCGGCTGGCCATTGGTGCCCAGTGTGGTTGTCTGCATGCTGGCACCGACACGCTCTATTTCCGACGAGCGGCACGAGGAGGCGTCCTCCACGGAGGAGCTGCGTCGCTTGCCACCGCCGCCGCCAGCTCGCTGCAGGCAGACACAGCTGCGCAACATGTTGGCGCTTGGGATTTGGCTAAGCCCGGACAGGCGCTAACCTATGGCCGTGCCGTGGCGTGGCGTGTCGTGTTGTGGCGTGGTGTGGCGTGGTGTGGCGTGGTGTGGCGTGGCGTGGATGTTGTATAACTTGAAGAGCACTAACAGGTCGACGATGACGTGGACGTGGACGAGGACTATGGGGCGCACCTATTGTCTTCGGCCTCCGGCACGGCCTGTCTGCCTTAATTGCAGCTCCACACACAACTCGCTTCTAGTCGCAGTCGTAATCGTGGTCGTAGTCATGCCACATGCAAGAGTGTTTGCGTTTGCCTTGGGCTTTGTTTTAGTGCCATGTGGTACGAGTGTGTTGCCCTATGATGCCCCGCACGGCGTAATTTGATGCGGCCATACTAGTCGCCGGAAAGTGCGTTGTCCGTCCCTCAGCTACGGCCGGGCGTGTGCCTGTCTACGTATCTCTCGGCACTTACTTTTTCCTGCTCTCGCTGTCTCCGTTTTGTCTATTGCCTACGCTGCAATTCGGTCTACTTATCATATAACTTAAATATATATATTTATCTAAGTCTTGCGGTTAACTGAAAGTAAATAAAAGGGAAATTCGCTTTATAGCAACAATTACGTTCATGGCGAGTTGTTGATAGCATGTTGTAAGCCCAAATGGGCTAACAGCACATCAGCCTTATTACAGAGTGTGTAATTGCTTCAATTTTTAGAGTTTGCTTTTAGGCGTTCAGCCGAAAGTTTCTATAGAAACTATATAGCCTATAGCCTTATATAGCCTATATAGGCTATAGCCTTGATTGTATGCCGTTCAAGCTAACTAAATATAGGTCTGTATGGACCTATGTATATATACACCTGCAAATGTACATATATCTATCTAGATATACATATAAACCTATGTACTGAACGTATGCTACATATACATATATCTATGTGAATGGCTATGTATAATATACATTATATATGTATGTACATGCATAGTTACATTCTTATATATAAATATATACATACAAATATACATACATACTTGCGTAAATGCGTACATATACATATGTATGTATACATACTTAGACGCATAAATGTTTACATAAATACTTATGTATATTCTCAGTTTCATATTAGTATACTAACATGCAAGCAAACATACTACATGTATGCTATATGCATACATCGACATGTAGATAGATGACATGCATGCATGTATACTTACATATGTACATTCATAAATAGTTGCATAGTTGCATACATGTATGTAATTACATGCATGCAGCCATACACTCGTATTTTCACAAGTAAATATGTATGCATATACACATGAATACATGTAAGCACATACATATGTAAATGAATACATAAAGTCAAACATAATCTATACATGCATTCATACATACATATGTGCATACATGCACTCGTATTTGCCTGCATGCATACTTGACGTACAGACACACACACACATACAATTCATATTCATACATACTTTCATGTGTGTGCGAATACTACACATACCTATGAACATGTATGTGAACACCCATATTAAATACCGCATGATGAGCTAGTTTAAGCTAGCTATATGTCTATCTAAATACTAACCTACATATACGAAGTTTACATACACTTATACAGCATATAGACTCACACATACAATCGTCACATACATACATACATATATGTACATATATGCTCAAGCATACATACATGCATACATATACACATCCTATATTCGTCATCTGCATTCAGTTTAAACTAAATTACCAACACCCATGCATGTATATAAACACACACTCACACACATGCATGCACACATACATACAAGAAAACACTACATCCGTTTTCTGGCGTTGGCTAACGGAAGTCTGCTTATTGTGCGGTTGAATGAATAATGATTAAAGCTAAAAAAAAAAAGAAAAATTAAAAAAAAAAGAACTATAGAGAATACATAATATGCTCAGAGTCCCTGAAGCGAATATCATTCGCCCATTTAACGTTTATTTGTTAAGTTGTGGGTGTCATCGGTGTTAATTAATGTCTGTCCATGACAAAGGCTGATGGGTGTGTTAGTCTGTGTATGGATGTGTGTGTGTAAGTAGTTGAGAATGTGTGAGGTGATGCTGCCCCTTGTGTTGTGCTCCATTTCCCCATGCAGCCAATAATTTGGCCATCAACAGATAGATAAAAGCCTTAAAAGCGAGCACGCGAGAGAAAATGTGAAAAAAATGAAGAATTTGCAGGACATTAGCTGCAGGCAACCCGTGCGTACACACGTATTCCGTACAGCAGAGCAAGCCAGGGCAGAGCAAAGCCTTCCCTACCTGCTACAGTCGGCTAAAGTCTTGCAACAAAGTGCGCAAAATGAAGAAACCCGCAGCGTGGCTTATTGGCTCCTTTGCTTGGCGTTCGACTGGCCCCAATGGTAACGAGCACCACAACACGCATAAATCGTGTCGAAAATGGCGTCAAAAGTCGTGTGGCATGAGCCGTGGGGCATGTGGCATGCGGCATGGGGCATGTGGCAGGCAAGTGCCTGCGAAACTTTTATCAAAATTCAATTTGTAGAGAGTGAAAATGTTTCTAAATTAATTTTCAATTTGTAAATAAGATTATTTCTTTAAAAAAAAAAAAAAAAGTGCGCGAGCTGCAGACGCATCAAACGCGAGGGTCGATCAATAAGTATCCCCTCGCCGAGCAGAGGTGCTATCAGCCCGTCAACTTTCCAACTTACAGGATGATTTATAAGTTAACGTCTCTATTATTTTCTCTTCTTTTCTTATATTTATTTATTTTCTTTTAATTGGCTTTCCGTACTTCGGCACCTGGTTTGAAGTTGGCCCATCAAATTGGAAAAGTATAACTCAATATCGATTACAAATTCACTTTTTACTATGGCGAAGCGGAACACGCAAAGCAATAAAAGAGAAATTGGATGCTGTTTACGGGCGGCGCATTTTATTAACCGTGGTTTATAACTTTCAACAAATTCCAACGTGCTCTCCGTGCACCTTCCGGTGCCTGAACATAACTTTGGCCCCGATGTCCAATTTGGAGCTCTTGGAAATAATTCGCATAATGCGCTAATCAGCGTTGATGGAACACGGAAATATTCTTTTACTCGCGTACCTCCCTTCGCAATCAGAGCAAAGTCAAACATAATCATATTATGCGGTAATTGTGCACGGCCGAGAAAATTAGGCTAATATGCTGCCATCTCTTCTAATTATAGGGAAAACTTTTGTTTTAGCCAGGATATGCAAGTTACGGCACAATTTATTTCAATTATTTCCATTATGATAAAGGTCACTTACGGACAGCAACTTAACTGTGGACCATGGCCAGATAATGACAGGACAGATTGACTAATGACATCATCTAACGAATAATTACCAAATGTGTGCAGTACAATAGAGATTGACGAGAGTTAAGAGTTCAGATTTCTGGGAAATGCTTATTTGCCGGATATTACGGAGAAGCCAAAAGACAATTTTCGCCATTCACGAAATCCCCACAGAAATGTCTCTATTCTACAAATTGAGAGGAATGTGTATCGTACAACAATAAAATAGATTGTGAAATGACTTTTTCGACAGGCTTTCAGCAGTGTTGGCGCACGTATACCCTGTACATTAATAGATATATGTAAATAGTTTTGTCAAATATACTCGACCTGCACGGAATGCGGTTTATGATTAATGAAGATGCTAAGAGCTTTTTTTTTTTAGAGATTTGCCAGATGCCTACCTGTTAATAATAATTGTGTGTGTGTGTGTGTGTGTGTAGCATATCTGGGAGTCGTTCACACTCGTCCCGAAATAATTTTGGTGTTTTGTTTTGATTTATATTTATAAATATGTAGACAGTATAGATGCATGTACATATATAAGTATATGTACATATGTACGTACGTATACATATTTTCACTCATCACATTCAAATGTGTGACTAGCAAATATTTAAATGTATATAAGTAAAAAATAATAATAACAATAATAATACATATAAGGAAAAGCTGTTCTCGAATTAAGCCTCCAGCTAAGAAGATATACACACGTATGCATAATGGCATACACACACTTAAGCAAACACACACAACGAAAGTAAAAACAAATGTCAGCGCCTGACATTTCATGGACATGTTGATGTGCTAAAGAAAATATGTAAATTATATGAGTGTGGGCATACCTTCGAGGAAGAGTTCGCGGCTTAATGAACCGCACAGATTCATCTTAATCTTCGGCAGTAGAATTAACGGCACACACATACGTGCTACGTGTGTTTTGTTTGTATGTGTCTGTCGACGTACGTTAACACGAACTTTGTTGCACCATCAAATGACAGATACTATGTTGTGTATAACAGCGGCCATAACAGAGGAGAAACACACACACATACATGTGTATAAAGGCGGCAAATGATTAAAAGAAGCCAAACAGCAAACTGATGCGGCGCACACACTCACTCACGCACACACACAGCCACACACAGAGAGAGCAGCAATGTTACGGTTCTTAAATAGCACGACTTGCGTTGAGTGCAGCAGCAATGCGAATATTGCTTATATGCATGAAATGTTTTTGGTGGCTCGCCTTCCGTTCCGTTCCGTCTTGTATGGAATACCGATACGAACTGAAATGAGCTGAAAGCACGGAAATCCTTTTAGTCGATGTCGCTGACGCTGCGCTGGCTCTGCTGGCGCTGTCGCTAGCGTTGGCGCTGGCGCTAGCGATGGCGACGGCGACGGCGCAGTTATTGCGAAAATGAAAGAAAACAAAAATCGTTACCGAAATCAGCTGATGGAGCGCTTGCCGCGTTTTTGCTGCCCCTTTCTAGTGGCGCGGAGGCTGCGCGTTCCACACACACTTTCACTCTCACTTCCTCACATAACCAACCATACACAAGCACTTAACATACATATATGTATGTATTTTTTTTTTAATTCAATTTATTTTAATTTTTTTTTTAATTCAAAATCTGTCCTGAAGGACAATGTCAGGGGTAAACAGCAGCCACACCCAGGTTGAAGCGATTATCTCCGCGAAAATATCAAAACCTTTCTCTGCGGCTTGAACTTTCACGTATTGAAAACGGCGCAGTTTGTGAATTCATTTTCGTTCTGCTAGCCTGGCGTTCAAAGGAGCCCACGGCCTATGGCCCAAGGCAGGGCTTAGCGGCTTTTAGCGCATTGAAAGAACTGGCTAAGACGCGAGCGCTCCCTTCACCAAATCTGTAAACAAGGTTAAGCGGTTTATTTCCCTTCTTATAACTCCCCATTTTGATGTGGAAAACAACACGAATAGCAACTACTTTGCATTTTCGCATGTCATGTATCCGGTTAATTTCATAGCAATTGGACAAAAAAGGGAGAAAAGAAACAAACATAAACACAGGTTATTAAAAAAATAGGAACAATGTTTCATAGTGCCCCATACATGTAGTTAAGTAATTAGTAAGTAAAAATATACTATGGTACTAAGTATACGATATAGCTAAGCATACGAATCAGCTAGACCAGAAGAACTCTTCAGTTTCATACAATTTTCCATATAATATATTGCGTATATTGTGAAACTGTCAGATACTGGACAGTCGGAGAATATAGTGAAAGTTAACGTATTGCAGTAAATTCGAATAGGTGTTTACCTTTTGTAGCCATAGAGAAAAAGTAGAAAAGTTTCCTGGTTGACGTAAAATTCAGCAGCAAATTTGAATTGAGGGCGCGACCAAGCGATTTGTCAAGGCCACAGTCCGTCCGGCCGGTTATTGTGTGCGGCCATGCTATGCCTCCCGTGCGAACCGAGCAAAAGCGAAAAGAATGGAAAAGTACAATAAACGAAAGCGGAATCAGCCCAAAGTGCTGCTACCCTGTTTCCAAGTCGAAATTTTAACATATTATTTCAGGAGCAAAACTCTTACGGATACAAGTCTTAAATTTTATATATGTATATAAATTTATTTTATTTACAAGCATTTATTTCAATTATTGAATGAACTTGCGAGCGAAAGAAATGTACAATTAATATTTAAATATACATATATATAATTATATATAAGATCTACTTAAATACAATTACTTCGGTCATGGACATTAAAAATAAAAGGCCGCAAACAATAAATTCTGCGTCTGTCTTTGTCTATTGTTAAAAATCCATTTATACTGAAGGTGCTAATAGTATTTTGTAGTGTGCTTACATATACCGGTTCTACGTAAGTTTCGGATGTGTTTATAAACATAAAAAACTATTTGCAACTAGCATTCTTTTACGCATGTGGTACATGCAAGGGGACAACTTAAATAGCTATATATATGGTATGCATCTAATTATTTTGCATTGGACTTGCAGATAAAAGCTTATAACATAGTTACTAACATAATCGCATTAGAGACTTATAAATATACCCGAATTATAATATTATATACAATAGTTTTAGACGTGTAGCTACACAACCAGTCACAGCATAAACACTCTAACATAGTATGTTCATGCCGTGTGTATAACGTTGGATCGCAGACTTGAGAAGAGCGCGATATGAATTTTGCAAAAGCTCCTAACGTAAAACCAAAACTTAAGATTATTGCTATGAATATAAACTAACAACTCATTGAGTTTATTGCAGCGTTCTTGTATACATTTAAATATTTTCGAGCAGCTCTAGCTCCTGGCTCCAATCTGCAGTAAGTATACAATGCCTATCGTTGATTACTGCATTACTTCGCGGAAGCGTTTTTGCCGCTCCAGGCTCTCGACCTCCGCCCAGCAGTTGCGCATATTGCGAAATAGCTATCAAGATAGAAGGTGAACCGTTTAGATGAATACCAAAGATGGCATGACAAAACTAACCTCATCTATCCAATTGTGCTCGGCCAGCAAATCATTTAGTATTTCCGTCGATGTCTTGCCGGGGCACTGTTGCTGTTGCTCTGTTACGCGCTGCGAGCAATTGATAAACAGATTGAACTTCTCATGCGCAATCTTGTGGAAGAGATCCGCACGTGCGGCACAAATACGACACAGCACAATGTCCTAGTAGGATAACAAGGTAGAGTCAGTCAAGATTACAATTGATAAATTTATAACTATAAATGCTTTTCACCTTCTCGTATACGATTCGTGCATCTGCAGCTATGGTCTGCATGGTGTTTGGATTGTAGGGCTCCCCAAATAGCAGGAAACGAACAGCAATGCCTGGTTGATGGCAGCCAGCGCAATTCTTCTGGGTCAAGTTGTTCTGCACCCACTCAGAGAACACATGACACTTGGGCCACGTCTCGATTGACGAGATAATGCTACGTGTCCATGGAGTGATAGCCAACAATTTCCGCTTGCAATTGTCCATTATATTGTCTATTACACGCACGCTTCCCAGAAAGTAGTCATCTGGAATTACAAGATGCAATTAGAGTACGCTTTTCTTGTAAATGATTTATAGGGATCTACCTTTCTCACGCGTTATCTCAGAGAAGAAGCTTGGATCGAGCGCTTGTGATATCATTGTTTGTATGTAGATTTCGAAATTGTCCCGATAGGACAGAAAATCCTCCATTATCTTTTCGATAAACTGCTCGGTATCATCGGCAAGCAGCTCAGACCGCATGAACTCCACAATGGTCTCCGTGTGAGACTGCAGCTGTATGCGTACGGGTGCTTTGAGGTAGAGTTTCTTGGTTTCAAGATTCCACGATGCGTACTGGGGACATAGAAATAACTTTTAGGGCTTTCAGAACAGAAATATTGGTATTTCAATTTACTTTCGACATGTTGCGGTAAAAGGTTTTACCGTTCTGACGAAACGGCTCATACTTTTGCAATATGCACTTGGAGTCCACCTGCCAAATGGTCGGCCAGTCATTAACCAGATCCGAACGCAAAACGATAAAGTCTCCAGTCTGTGCAAGAGAAGAAGAGAGAATTTATAGTTACGGTACAGGTATATACGGCAAGCTATAGCCTACTTTAAAGTTCTCGGCCGTGGATGCAGATGCCGTCCCCGCACTGCCATAGCTAACGGCCGCCCCACTCTGCAGATCCTGCTGCGGATTATAGCCGTCGTTGGAGCCATGCAGCTGTGGCTGCTGCTGATGTTGCTGCTGTACCTGCAGCTGTTGCAACTGCTGGTGCTGCTGCAAATGCGTTGTTGGCTGACAATATGTGTTCTTGCGCGGCGTTCCCTTGATGCGTCGCGCTACCTTGCGCTTCCCATAGCCCTTGCCGTCGTCACTCTGTGTGATACACATTTACATATATATTGGTACAGTTGGGTGAAGTATGGATTAGAAACGCTAGCGACAGCGGACGAGCAAGCAAGATACACTTACATCTTCCTCCTGCGGCGTCCAAACGGGATCCGTGTCCGAGTCAGTGAACTCCTCCGGCTCACCAACCGTGCCGCCCTCCCCAATTGTTGATGTATTCAAGAGAAGTGCGTGCATGCTGCTCTCCTTGGCCTTGCGGGAGCATTGCTCCCGACGTGGCGGCAAGTTTAAAGGGTCTGTGGAGAGCACAAAAGTAGTTAGCAACATCAAAGTGGTGGTGGTGGTGGTAGTGGTAGTGGAGAGCGAAACGGCAACCAAAATGGCAATGCATGCCACGCGCGGAACAACAACTACGTCAACAACATAAACCCACAGCCGAGAAGCCATCGACGACACTGCCGCTGCAGCCATTCGTCGTTTATCTCACACAGGTAAATAATAAAAATACAAGTTTTTATTTTTTGATGATTTTTTCTTTCTTTTTTTTTTTTTAAATTAATAATATTTGTTCTCGGTATTCCATCTCAAAAATACTTATGCTTTCTTTTTTTTTTTTATCTTTTGTTTTTTGCTCATTCGATTCGGCATTATAACAATTTTAAAAGTTAAGTTTATGTATTCGGTTTTTACATATGCACAGTGTCCATGTCCCTGGTTTAAGGTTCGTTGTCTCTGTCTCGTCTGTCGAGTCACATGGATGCGATGTGGTCATTTTCGCGACTAATGCTGCCACGGCCAAATCAGATTAATAAGGTGATGATGATTGGGCGCGGCGGGAGCTGCTGCCACGCTAACTGCTGTGTTGATGGTGGCTGCCGCCGTTGGCGCGTCGGCGGCGGCGGCGACAGCGGCGGGTGTGTGATGGTGGTTGTTGTTGTTGTTGTAATTGTTGTTGCATGGCGCAGTAGTTGTTGCGATAGTAGAGTGCTTATTGGAATTATGCTGTTGGTCAAGTAACATACCTTGACTGCCGCTCCCGCTACCCAACTGCGCGCAATGCTGCTGCACAAAATGCTGTGCGGCGCCCAGACCCGGCGACTCCTGCTGCTGCTGCTGGGCGTATGGCCGAAACGAAGATGTCGTCTGATCGGCTGCGGGATGCTGTATGACAGAGGTAGATGTTGATTCAGCGGCTGCTGCTGCGGCAGCTGCCGCCGCCACCATTTGTGCATGCGGCCTCTTTTTAGGCAGTATTTGAGTTTGTGAGAGTATTTTGATACGATGCCCATCGTCGCCGACGAGACCAGCCAAGTTCTGTGACGCCTGACCGTCTGTCGCTGTTCCACACGATGCCGTTGCCTGCGACGTGGACGCTTCATCGCCGGCACCGGGTTTCCCTTTGCGTTTATATGGAGTACGTGGATAATTAAGCTTGCGCGATGGCTTCACCACTGGCGGTGGATCATCATCCCGTTCACCTTGTAGAAACTTAAGGTAGCTATCCATAAATTGCGTTTTCTTCTCGCCAATGGACGTGCCCACGCTAACAGGCTTCGGTGCGGATGGACTATACGCAGACGACGTCGAACTGGATGAGCAGAGTGTTGTTGTGGCCGGCGTTATCCCATTATTGCTGCAGTCGTGCGTCGAAGATGAAGGCGGCTCCGGTGAAGGCGTTTTATTAGGATTACGTATGCCAAAGTTTGTGTTGTTTGTCGAGGAGTTCGTGTTGCGTCCATTTGTTGCCAACGAATTAGCATAGCCCTGTTTCGCCAAACTATTTGCATCGGCCAAGAAGTCCAGTTCCTCTTCTATGTTTGGCACAATGACTTTATTGCTGGCTTCGGTGGCGGCAGCAGCAGCTGCCGTCTCCTCCTCCTGCTGCTGCACAGCCTCAACTTTATCCTGCTGATGCTGTTGTTGCTGCTGTTGTTGTTGTTGCTGCTGCTGCTGCTGGTGCTGCAGTTGTTGTGTATACACCTGTTGTTGTTGTTGTTGCGTGTACACCTGCTGCTGCTGCTGTTGTTGTTGTTGCTGCTGTTGTTGTTGCTGCTGTTGTTGTTGCTGCTGTTGCTGCTGCTGTTGTTGTTGTTGCTGTTGCATACATGCCGTGTACTGGGATGCAATGGGCTGCGGAAACGCTGGATAGTACTGGGCTAACTGCGTGAGATGTGATTGCGCCTGCGATGATTGTAGGTGTGCGGGCTGCGGGAGATGCTGCTGCTGTTGCTGCTGCTGCTGCTGCTGAGAGGACTGCTGGTGTTGCTGGCTATGCTGCGGATATGTGGGTATGTTGATGGTTGTTGCTGGCGACACAGAAGCCGCATTGTTCTCCGTTTTCAGCGGTGTATTCCATTTGCTATTAAAATCGTAATACGTATTTTGCTGTTGCTGCTGTTGTTGTTGATTGTGCTGTTGTTGTTGCTGCAACTGATGATGCTGTGACTCCTGCGGACTGCGCACCGTACTGTATTCACTACTTGGAATAAGCGTCTTCTTCGGTTGTCGTTTGCGCGGCGTCTTTGCTGGCTTGGGCGGGGGCTTTACATCCTCCTGCAATTGTACCAATAATAGATTTTTATTAACCCAGCAGTTAAATTTGTTCTCTCAAATTCATTTATATATTAAGTTTGCATTTGGGATATTTTCTTTTTATAAGTATTACAAAGATGACATAAAACTTCCTCAACAACAACGTCACGTCACAGTTTCAAAATGACCACAAGATTTCGCCAATAAGATAATTAGCTATTTTGCTATAATTTATTGGTTTCGACAGAACGTACGTATGTATTTATATTTAACGAAAGAAAGGCAAAACAAAACAAGAGAAACGAAAACATAGACAACAACGATAAGCAATAACAAAAAGTTCATAATCAAATGAGACAAAACGCCGCCACCAAAATGTAAACAGTAAAATAACAGAAGATAGATAACAGAAGTTCTTCGCGCCGCCACAAGTGGAAGAAGGTATGAGAGTTAACATAAATGCTTTGCTAAATGGGCGATCAGCCAAACAAATTCTAATAGAAATGTTACTATTCCATATATACAATAATATATACAAATACATATATATATTTGTATATGTATGTATGCATGTATATATATTCGTTATTGAAATAAGTACGTTGTTATACAAATGGCTAGAAGCGGTTCGATTATGAACTAGTTCTACTCTTTGAAATCGATTGCAGATTCGTATAACAGCCGTTAGGTGGTAAACTAAACACGAAATCAAAACACACCAAAATAATAACAAAGCATAACAAAGCAAAGCACAACAAACTTAAAAACAAGAAAACAAACGGAAAATTAATCCAAAAATAAATACATACAAATGAAATACAAACCTTTGGCACTGTTTGAATCTGTGACGCTAAGCTGCTCGAAGTCCCTGGCGACAATATCATATTAGCCACAACGTGTTGCCGCCTGCCTTGTGGCGAGCTGGAACTCTGCTGCTGTTGTTGCAGCAGATGCTCCTGGGCTACAGCCTGCGCCTGCGCCTGTGCCTGTGCCTGTTGCAAGGACACGGACGCGGACGAATCTACATCGATGACCGCTGGCTGATAAAACGTTTGTTTTATCTCAAGACCCGGTGGAAGATTAAACACGAGATTCTCGCCAGCATCTGTGCCGCCAGCCGCATCATTGGCATAGTCCAGCTGCCGATGCTCTTGCTTGACATGCAATTGCAATACGCTCTTAATCTCTTCTTGTCCATCCTCTGGCTTTGTCCAGCAATGCTGCTGCTGCTGCTGTTGTTGTTGTTGTTGCTGCTGCTGCTGTTGTTGTTGCTGCTGCTGTTGCAGGTGCTGTTGCTGCAGTGTGCTTTGTATCACAGATGAGTAGGCCACCGTTGTGGGCGCTGCAGACGAACCCGCGCCTGCCACGTTCATTACGGTGCGTCGCGACACTGGCGAACCAGTCGAACCAGCCGCTACCGACGCTGCCACCGGGGCCGTTGCCGTCTTATAGACAATCACCTGGGGTGATCCACCGACATCGACCGTGTGTAAATTCGTGATAGGTGATCCGTCCGCCGAGCTCAATGCCGGACTCGCATACTGCGCTGCATACGCCGGACTCGCATTCTGCTGTTCAATGTGAATCGTTTGAGTATCCTTGCGTGCCAGCTTCAGTTTTTGCCCATCTATGGTATAATATGTTTCTGCCTCGGCAATCTCATGTTGCAATTGTTCTTGTTGCTGCTGTTGTTGTTGTTGTTGCTGCTGCTGCTGCTGTTGTTGTTGCTGTTGTTGTTGTTGCAATTGGGTGAAGTAAATTAGATCGTTGTACGCTTTGAGATGCGCCTTGGTTTGTTGTGTGTTTTCTTGTTTGATTTGCTACAGATTCGTTGCAGTTGTAGGCAGTTGGTTGATTTTTGTTTTTTGTACATAAATTTGATGGAAACGGAAATTGTTTTTGTTCGGATTTCGTTACATATATATACAGTACATTACATACATAGACAGTTAAAGGCATAAGTAGTTGAGGCATAGTCTAAGCAGAGTTAGTATTTGGTTGTGTAAGAGGCGCATCAAAAGGGACCCAGCATTAAAAGCTTTGAAAGACTAACTAGCTCTAAGAAAAACTTGGTCATTTCAGTTATATTAAACAGGATTTAATGTGGAAAGACAATCATATTGTGAATATAGTGTATGATTACTCAGCTAATCAACTGTTTTGGCCATTTCTCAATTATTTGCGAATTAGAATTCCCTAAATATCTTAAGCTAAGGTTAAAGCCTGTCCAAATTCATCGATTAGTATGTGTATTGAGCATTGCTTACGGAATACCAAGGATACCAACACAGATACTGAGCCCCTTGAGCCCCTCCTCCCCGGCCATGGCCTTCTGCAACTCTGTGTTAAATATTGTTGCAACAATTGGATTTTATACTCACCACTTTGTCGGCCACTAGATTCAGTTGCTGTTGAGCTTGTTGCTGCTGCTGTTGTTGCTGTTGCGCCTGCTGCTGTTGCTGCTGCATGGCAAGGAACGTGTTGGATATCATGTTGGGGGTGTTCCACGTCAGCGATGTTGATGTTAGGGCTACCGTCGTGGGTGATGGCGAGGCGCCACTCGACGAAGAGTTCTCACCGTAGTAGTTTGAGGCAACATTATTAACGGCAGCGGCGGCTGCAGCTGCCGAGGAGACAGCCGCCACCGCAGCCTGGTTCTGAAACGAGCTGAGCTGCTTGTCCAGCGTGGGCAGCTGCAGTTGCTGCAGCTGTCGGTGCGGCGTGTTGACCGTCGATGAGGCATAATGCGCAGGCTTTGGCTGCACGCTTGCTGCGGCTGCATGGTGATAAATCTGCTGGAATACTGGATTGTAGCTGCCAATGGGCGATGGGGGCACAAAACTGCCGCCGCTCGCCGCAGCCGCATTGAAGCTAGCAAGACTAGCCGCTGTAATTGTTGCTAAATGTGGATGCTGAAATTCCTCCGCTGTGCTGCCCGTGCTGCCTGTGGAACCGGGGACGATGCGATTGTAAGCGTAAGACCAGGGGCTGGAGTTGGGATCCATGTGGTGTGCTTGAGCTGGAAGCAGGTATTTTTGTTTGGGGTTAATTTTTGTATTCTCAGTATGGCATAAACATCAAATGCAGATTCCAGGGCTGCACTATAGACACGGTCTGCTCAGCTCGATACCATATCGAGACATGCATACATACATACATATGTACATGTGAAATTCGTATTCGTACTTGTATGCGTTTTTATTCTTTCGTATTAAATTAGTATTTCACATGCCGCAATCACTGGTTTTATGATTATTCAAATAAACTTTCATCTTACAATATGTGGAAATGAGTACATCAATACAGTTTCGTTTTATGCAGCCCTAGCGACAAGTGCATTTTTCGCAGATACTTTGATATTTATACATATACACACATACATACAATGATAAATTATGCCGCGCACAGTTTGGCGTGTTTAAGAAGGCACATTTTCTCTTATTTTTACATGTTCTTGCAAATTAGACAAATGTTTTTTTTGGGGGTATTTACATACATATGTATGCGTGTAAGTTTGTACATCAGTTTATATTTCCTTTGACCACTTTTAACATATACATACTTATGTACGTATGTATGCTTAAAGTATATGTATGCAAGTACATACATACATGTGTGCGTGCGATGAGAGATAGTCACTAGCAAAGCAACTTGGTCGTTTTACTGTTTCGTTGCGTTCACACTGCGATGGATCATCTTTATTATTAGCGTTGATTATGCACTTGTCTATTTACGTTACAATTTTAAGTAAATTTATTTTGTAAACTACTACAATTGGGCTGCATAACTTTTTTGTGGGTGAAACAATCTCCAAAATGGCCGCTCAAGTACAAATGAACTATTGTTCATTTGAACGATGCACACGTGAATCAGTTCGATGAAAGTCGTGTGCTTATGTTAGCCTGAGTGTTAGTTTTGCTTTGAATTTTGTTTGATATATGTAGTTATATTTGTTTGGTGAGTATAGTTTACGGTATAAACACATAATTTCCATTCTTATATACAAACCTCGTATATGCATTTGTAACAACGTGCATAAATACAATACTTATGTATGTAAACACGCACATATATCAATTTATTTCCTACCGTCAAGTGTTGTAAAATTTGATATCTTTGTACACCACTGATCAACTAAACAGTAAGAAGCATTCCCACCGGAATAGATGTTTGATCAAATAACACATTGATGCAAACATATTATTTAGAAAATACTTTATTTGTTTTAATTGATCCTTGTCTAATAAATGCATTTATGATATATTTTATTATTTTAAAATCCACGCAATAAGTTATAAAAGTTGTTTTATTATTTTACTCTTATAATATTAGTCAATTAATTTTAATTCAAACACGTTATAAAGATATTTACAGTCATAATTGACATAATAATCATTAAAAATAATATAATAATGGAATTGAAATACTGCCAATCGATACTGGCTTTAATTGGTGTATTATCGATAACTTGTCATCTCTATTAGTGACTGTCAGTTTACTCACTACGAGTTTTTTTTTTTACAAAAAGAAAAGAAAAAAAACCTGTGGATAATACGTATTAAAAACATTATTTGGTCAATACGTTAAAATAAAAACTAAATAAGTTAAATTAACACTTCTCAAATAAAAACTAAAAAGGTAAGCAATGTTGTATGAAATCCATTATTGCACTTTGCTTAAAATTTACACATTCTACGTGTAAGAGAAAATACGCCCATTAACTGTAATCGTGCTCTTTTAGAGTACAATGGATTTGGATTTTGGTGACGACTTTGCTGCTAAAGAGGAAGTTGATCCAGCTGCAGAATTTTTGGCACGCGAGCAATCGGTTCTTGGAGACCTAGAAGCTGAAATAACTGGGGGATCTGCGACAAGTGCTGTTGCCGCACCTGCAACCGATGATGGACTGCTGGGCGGCTTAGTCAGCACCGGGGCCGAGTTAGGCAGTGAACTCTCTGCCAATGTTGGAGGTGGCCTGGAATCATCGACTGGCAGCTTCGAGGTGATCGGCAGCGAGACAAACGAACCAGTTGGTATCTCAGGCCCTCCGCCGTCGCGTGAAGAACCCGAGAAAATACGGAAGTGGCGAGAGGACCAAAAGAAGCGGCTAGAGGAGAAGGATATTGAAGAGGAGCGTAAAAAAGAGGAGCTGCGCCAGCAGGCCAAGAAGGAGCTAGATGACTGGATGCGCCAGATCGAAGAGTCCATTTCGAAGACCAAATTATCGTCTCGCAACGCTGAAGTTCAAGCCGCTTCGTTAGAAAATGGAGCAGTCGAACCCGGAACCGAGTGGGAGCGCATTGCCAAGCTGTGCGATTTTAACCCTAAGGTCAATAAATCTGGAAAGGACGTCTCACGTATGCGGTCAATTTACCTGCATCTGAAGCAGAATCCCATACAAGTACAGAAAATAGCCTAAAATATACAAATATATATAAATATAAATAACCCTATTACGCACCTACTGAAACATTTCGATTTGACTATTTAGATTCTGATACAAAGTATTTTTTGTAAATTCCAATTATATTAAATATGTATTACATACGATTATTTTGCCTCTGAAGTGTTATATGATATTGAATATAAATAAAATGGAAATCTTATAGATATATGTATTGAATTTGTTTTATTTTGATCTATAACTAGCAAGTCTAAATATTAAATATGTATCGTAACTATTTATTTGTATTATTATTATTTTCTAGTGTAATGTCTGAAGATCTGATGGATAATAATAAGGATCGCGTCGAGAGCATTGAGAACTTGACATCTACCCACAATCAAAAACGAAAAGATTATCTACCGTGGGACGATTACTTCATGGCCACCGCAATACTCTCATCGAAGCGAAGTAAGGATCCCTCTACGCAAGTCGGCGCCTGTGTCGTAGACAACCATAATCGGATTGTTGCTATTGGTTACAATGGCTTTCCAAGAAACTGCAGCGACGATGAGTTTCCATGGTCGAAGGACGAAGATAAGAATTCGATGAAAAATAAATACATGTATGTGGTGCATGCTGAGGCCAACGCGATACTAAACAGCAATTGCACCGCACTGGACGGTACGCGTCTCTACACAACTCTCTTCCCATGCAATGAGTGCACAAAGTTAATCATACAATCGGGCATCCGGGAAATATATTATTTATCTGACAAGTATAGGGATAAGCCTGTGTATCAAGCTGCCAGGCGGATGCTTGATGCAGTTGGCATTGCCTATAAGCAGTTTATCCCAACGCAAAAACAGGTTACTATCGACTTTGACTTAATTAAGTAAAATGATGTGATTATCTTTAGTTAAACGATACTACTGACGTAGAGCAGCTAATATGAACTAATTTAATTGGTTTTGTCCTGATTGTTGTGTAATTCCTTCTAATAAAATGCATACAAATCACAATTACATACATTATCTATATATATATTTGACATAACTATATTTCTAAAATGGTCTTCGGTTGTTGCTCAACATTAAAAAAATACAAAAATTACTGCACATCTGTCGAATCGGCCATGTTTGAGTTCTCCTCAGACTTTTTTGACACGGGCGAGTCGGATAGATGTGGGGAAAGGTCGCGCAGCTTTACCACATTCCCGACTGAAACCGAATTCGCAGCTTCTGTGACAGAGTAGCCAATGTCCGGCGGCGTACCTTCCGGATAGCCTAAATAGTAATCGGCAATGCGTCCAGCCTCACGCAACCCGCTTAAATACGCGCCGTGGACAGTGGCCGGATAATTGCGTATCGTGTGCTCACCGGCAAAGAAGAGCCGCGGCAGTTCCTCGGCGTCTTTGCTGAAATGTGGCTCAAAACCGGTGGGCGGAATTACAGGTGCGGCGAGCAGATCATAGTCGCTGCCAGAGGAGCCCACTGACACATAGCTATATGAGCCGCGGGCCCATTGATCACTGCGCCAGCGAGTGACGACCGTCTCTTTAGGCTGTGGCACCGATGTATTGCCGAAGATGTTCTTCAGCACGGACATACAGCGCCCGATGATGATGTCATCTGTCACGCTCTCCACAATATTGGCCGCCATGCCAGCGACAAGAGCCAGCAGCACGGGTGACGAGCTGATGCTCCAGAAGAGAAACATTTCCCCTAATAAAGACAATATTTTAATATTTTTTTTTAAAGAAATGAAGAGCAAGTCAGCTACTTACCCCGACTAGCTGTCGTGCTGCCCACGTGCCCAAAGAGATTCGCATTGGGATCCCAGAATATACGATCGAAACAGAGTACCACCTTGTTCAGATTGCCAAATCCCAACCGACGTATCGCCTGCTGCTTCCAGTCTGGCAGTGGCGGATCAAATTTCACTGTATTGGCATGATGTGCCTCCTCCTGTGTGACGGCTACCTTTAAAACGCCCAGCGTAAGCGTACAGACGGCCAAGTCGGCCTTATAAGTCATAAGCGAGTTTGATGTCTTCAGATTTTCGGCCACAATCTCAACGCCTTTGCTGTTGTACTTGATTTCCTTGACCGCACTGTTTAGACGTATGTCTATATTCTCGGTGAGAGCAACTGGCACACAGGAGTATCCATTTCGCACTGTCGTGTGGTGCCCAATGAACTCGAAGTCATCGTCCTGATCCCAGTGCTTCAGCGACAAGTTGTCTAGGCGGGTGGCATTGGCAAACTCCAGATTGGCAAAGTGCCAGTCGAGTATCAGACGGTCACGCGAGGATAGGTAAACCTGGCTGTATGAGAGAAAGTGTAAGGATTAATGGTTTATGTCTATAGATAGAATCTGACTAACCTCGGTGCGTTCTGTTCGATCTCCTGCAGTTTCATCTCCAATTTATGGCCCTCGATGCGTTGCTCCGCCTCGGCACTGATAGCATCCTCCAGTTTAATTTGAGTGTTGCGAATCGCGTACTCCTGGGATGCATAACTATTTTCATTGTGTGCGCTCCTTGGCAGTCGCTGTTTAACTAGATTTTGGAGATCTGACTTAAGCGTCGCAATCTTCTGTAAAGTGGCTTTCAGCCGTTTTCGATGTTCAATGATTCTGGTTTGGGCAGCAATGATCTCGTGCATATGGGCAGCTCGTTTCTCTTGCACAGCTTTGTCTTGCATATTGATGATCCACTCGAGCGCATCGCCCAATGAAACGGGATTGTTGCCGGCATAGTTGAAGTCTAGGCGATGAGACAAATAGCTTGCCGACTCCAGTAGGCGGTTAAATTCACGCTCGATAACGTCATCTTTTTCTTTCGGTACCGGTTTTCCGTCGGGTCCGTACAACGGACATGTCTGCTGGATTGGCACCAGATCCATGCCAATCTGTTTGCTTAGAATAGTCATGGGATTGCCGTAGACGCCAGTTACTACCATGGCGCCAAGGTCTGCAATGTAGCTATTCTTGCGAAAGGTGGCAATGCGGCCACCAACCCGATCTCTTGCCTCCAGCACAATGACATCCATCCCAAATTGCTGCAGCTGTTGCCCAACGGCCAGTCCGGAAATTCCCGCGCCAATTACGATTACCTTGCCAAGTTTTTTACTGGGTATTGGCAACAGCCGCTTGAAGATGCCGAAATTTATGAAGCCGTGCCGCTCCAGAAACGAGTGCACTCGCCTCACCAGATTCGGGTCACTGTCAAAGGGCGGTGGCAGTCGCTTGAGCGCACTGTCAAAAGTCAACTGTGTCTTGGGATTATCCACCCACATGTGCAGCAGGCTGTTGCGTATATTAAGGAACACTCGATGACCAAGTATGCCCGAGCAGCTTATGTCTGGGAAGCACGCCTCCTCGTTGGGTGTCATTTTGCTAAAGGGCAGACGCGACTGAAAGACGGCACCTTCCTGACCCGAGAGTACCGTAGGGGTGCTGTTGTCACGCGCTTCTCCATTGGTCCCATTCGTATCCTTTGGCAAAGTACTGCGTGATCCAGTGCCCGTACTGTGATTAACTCCAGCCTCCGATTTGCGGGTACGTTGTTCGGCCTGTCCCTGACTACGCTTATCTGTCGGGCCCGAGCTGCTACCCGAAGAGCCAGAACTGCATTTGTCGGAGGCCGTATTCTCCGCACTGGCAGTTGCCGGTTTATTTGTGTAGTCGACCTTGGGCTTGTTACGCCGGCTGGTACGTCGCTCGTCACTGGTGGCGGGTGTGTCATTGGAATCATCATCGAATTTTGCCTTTGTATGGCTAGCAGCCTGGCTACCACTCCCAGAAGGATTTCGTTTGGGCGACGGCTCGCCGTCGGAGTCATCACTAATAAGGGTAACATACTCGATGGGCTCGCCCATTTTAGCGGCACTGGTGCCACTACCACCGGACTGAGTAGGCTTCATTAAAGAACTATTGATAATATTAGAACCAAAATGCTCTTCAAATCGGAATGCGAGTCACTTCCTTATTTCAAAACTTACATTTATGGTAATACAAAATCAAAACTCAAGCCGAACAAAAGTTGATATATAGTAGCTTAGAACGAATTTATTTCACACATCTTAAATTTATTTGCCGGCATTGAATGTCGGTATGTCTATTTGCACGCTAACTGTTACTTTAATTTATAACTTTAAATGTATATTTTTTTAAGCATTGCAAAAACAAATCCTCCGATGTGCGACGGCTTTTATCGTGTACTATTAATGTTATTCTACACTGTAATTAACAGCGTTAAGCACGAACTCAACAGTGACACGAAATTTAACATTAACTTAAGTAACAGAGCTCAAAATAAGAGATTAATTTATAGCTGAAATTGAGATCACGTGTGCATAGGAATTGAATGTCCTTATAAAAAAAATAAAAACAACAAATATTTACTTGCATTTTATTAACTGAAAGCGCCGAACATCAAATATAATTGGATCAGTGCTGTAAAATATTTATCACTTTGTCTATCGATACCAAGTATATTATGCGATTATTTCTGCACTTCAAATATAACGGAACATATGTATACACAATAAAGCAGTGCAAGAATTCAATAACAGATGAAATGCATAATTCATCTATAGCAAAAAATCTAACTGGCTTATTGTGAGTTAATAAACAAAACTTTTTTTAATTTTATAAAAAAAGAAATTTAAAATGTTGGAGAGTTAGGTACACGCTTTAGTCACGTCCGTCACAGCAGCCGTCGTAAATAATCTCACTGACGCAGGCTTGCACTCTCTCATCGAAGAAGTAATCCCAATGGCAGGTTTTCTCCGCAACTTCTACACCATCAACACATTCAATGTAGTTGTGGCAATCGTTACTGCTGCTGGTCACGAGCATCGTTCCGCGTCCTTCGCACCGGTTGTAAGTACAAACCACTGAGGTGGGCTCGGCGCACATTTGCCTAGTGTCGTCGTAGAAATAGCCCTCTGGACACTGGCCCCACCAGGGATCAACATCGTGAACAGCGCCGTAGTCACCGCAGTAAAAGTATCCACGGCAAGTGGCACCGTCCGGCTGGTAACCCTTAAGGGGTTTAGATTTCGACAGGCATGCATCCTTCTTGGAATGTGCATTGCAAGCGACTAGGTTCTTAGCCTTGCAGGTTCCGCTCTCCACGTCAAAATACTGCGTTGAAGTGCAGGACTTGAGCGTGTGCTTTTTACTCTTACACTCGTAGTACTCGTTGCAATCAGTCTCTTGCCGGAACTTTGTTTTATCCGGCAGCAGCTCACATATATTGGCAACATCCACGCAAATTGAATCAGTTCCGTGCTGGCAGGATTGCGTTGTTTCATTGAAGTGCTGGGCGCCCTCGCAGTGGCCGGCCAAGGACTCTCCATTTCTACAGTAGAGATAACTGTGACAGTCAGTTGGATCGGCGACCCACATGCCGTCCAGGCCCTCGCACAGGTTGCCACAGTGCGCACTATTACTGGCCGTCGCCTTCACGCACTTCTGGGAGCTGGCGTCGAACACAAGGTCATCGGCGCATTTGTGCAGGATGCCGTTGCCATTTTTGCATTCAATGTACTCATTGCAGGAGGCGGGCTTCCGGATGTGGATGCCACTCTGGAACAGTCGACACATATCCTCAAAATTATACAGCGCTTGCAGGGGCTGAGGCAGGCACAGGGCAAGCAGGATCACCCCAATACCAAATCTCAATGACACTAAAAAACAATGGGAAATTAAACAATAGTATATGGTAATATTCGCGGGAACTGTACTAGCTGCAGATGGTACGCAGGTCGCGCAAAACACCTGCCAAATATAAATTTCATTTTTTTGCTCACCTTGCATTGTCGATTGATTGGGAAATACCTTTCGTATTTCTGATTTCGATGTTGCTGCTCAAATTGTTAGTCTTTGACTAAATGGGGATTGGTGTTTGGAAATAATTTATATATGGAACAGAATGTCGCTGATACCTTACACCTAATACCTGATACCTGCTACTTGATAACTGATTCTGCAACAAATTAGGGGTATATGTTCTCAGC